AGTAGTAGTAGTAGTAGCAGCAGCAACATTAGTAGCAGTAGTAGCAGTAGCAGCAGCAGCATTAGTAGTAGTAGTAGCAATAGTAGTAGTAGCAGTAGCAGCAGTAGTAGTAGTAGTAGCAGCAGCAACATTAGTAGCAGTAGTAGCAGTAGCAGCAGTAGCAGCAGCAGCATTAGTAGTAGCAGTAGCAGCAGCAGCAGTAGCAGCAGCAGCAGCATTAGTAGTAGTAGTAGAGCTATATTTATTCACGAATACACATCTTAAATTAGATACAATTTATTTATAGTAATATACAAATCGGTAAAAGTACATCACTAATTCGTCACAGTAGTAACTACAATTTCACATCCAATAGGCTATTATTTGTGATATTCCAATGCGCTGTACATACCTTAATCAATAGGCCTATAGTTAAATAGAAATCGGTAAAAGTACATCAATAATTCGTCAATTTAAACTACAAATCACATCTAATAGGCTTAACTATTTGTAATAACTCAATGCGCTCTACACCTTAAATTAAATAAAATTTAACCAACTACAGTATAGTGAAACACAAATCGATAAAAGTACATCAATAATTCGCCAATACCATATAGTAACTATAATTTCACACCAAATAGAATACCTCAGTGCGCTCTAAACACATTACATTAAATACAATTTAACCAACTAAAGTCAAATCGGTAAACGTACATCAATAATTCATCAATACAATAGTAAATGCAATTTAATATCCAATAGGGTGAACTATTAATTGTAAAATCTCAATGCGCTCTAAATACCTTACATTAAATAATTTAGACAAATATACTGAAATTCAAATAGGTAAAATACATCGATAATTCGTCAATAGAATAGTAACTATACTCTTTCACATCGAATAGGCTTAACTATTATTTTGTGATATCTCAATTCGCTCTGAACACCTTACATTCAATAGTAGTAGAGCTATATATATTCACGAATACACAGTGACACCTTAAATTAGATACAATTATTCATAGTGAAATACAAATCGGGAAAATACATCAATAATTCGTCACAGTATTAACTCCAATTCCACATCAAATAGGCCTTTACTTGTGATATCTCAATGCGCTAGGCCTACAAACCTTAATCAAATACAGTTAATTCAATATAGTTAAATAGAAATCGGTAAAAGCACATAAATAATTCATCAATACAATAGTACTGAAGTTTTACATCCAGGGTGAACTATTAATTGTGATATCTCAATGCGCTCTAAACACCTTACATTAATAATTTAGACAACTACACTGAAATGCAAATAGGTAAAATACACCAATAATTCGTCAATACAATAGTAACTACTCTTTCACATCGAATAGGCTTAACTATTATTTCTGATATCTCAATTCGCTCTGATATATCAATAATTCGTTAATACAGTAGAAACTACAAATCCACTTCCAAACGGGCTAAATAGTTGATAGTCCTTGCTAAAATGTCGAACAAAGAGCAAACTACATTCTGATACTTTACATTAGATCATCATAAACCAAACCATTTCACGACAACAATAATGTATTTGCTTAATATAAAATTAATTATCTGAATTAGTTAATCAAAATAGAAGCATAGGCCTAATTATTAAATGAGATTAATAAAGGACAAAAATTGTTATTTTAATAAATAATTTTAAAATAGTATGAAATTAGTTATTGGTTAATTACCATTTGAAACAGATAATATTTGAGTTGAGATTTAAAATGATACTATAGTTTCCACTAATTTCATAGTCATTTTTAACAAAAATCTAAAGAAAATTCATAATAAAACCAATCAATAATTTAAATAAAATATTATCACTTTATAGTATAAAGATCTAATGAACTTAAATCATACTAAAATATCATAAATCGAACAAATAGAATTATAGCCTAAATAATGTGTAGTTGTAATGTAAATAAATAGTGGTAACCATATCAAATATTTAAAAACAATAACAGTAGAATAAAGCTACACAAAGGAAGTTAGCAATCGTAAAAAATGTAATGTAGATGTGAAAATTATACAATATATTTTTGAAGTACATATACAACACAACATAACATACAATACAACATAATATAACAGCTAAATTTAATAATATAACATCTAACATTTATAATATTCGTGCATTAATTTAAAATTCATTGCTAATTTTCAACATTATTGCAAATAATGCCAAAGTGTTAATTGATATTAGATAGGCCTATTATTAATTCCTATCTACAGGCACAAATAATCTGGAAATAGGCAATCTGCATTCTGACCCCCGGCCGATAGCTGGTAGCTTGGACCTGCTTAGACACGAGAAGTAGGCCTAAGGCGAGACTTTTTTATACCTTGTTTAGCGAACCCGCTGACTGCAACATTTTGATGATTTCGATTTCAAATAAAAATCCACGAAATCTTTGGCCAATTAGTGCACCCGCCGCCACGAAAAAGTAGAATTTCAGAAAAAAAAGTTCTTTATTTTTATTACGCCCTCGGCTGCCTGAAATCTACAAAGATAAGATATGTATATTTCTTTCTAATTATATAAATTTGAAGCATTTAACCATCCTATTTTACATTCACAAATAAAATTTTATTTTTGTTTTCTTCTCCGTCTGGATGTTTTTGGAAAATCTGTTTGCTAAATAAGAAAAAAAACTTTTATTTTTCTTTTTATTCCGCCCTCCTCCGATGATCTTTAAAAAAATAAATACGCGAAACAAGTAATAAAAAAAGTTCCGCCTAAGTTATTGTACAAGCTAGTCCACACATCTGACTTTGCTACAAAGCGCTATCCAACTTTCGCAGAGCGCCACCAGCGCTCTGCGAAAGTTTCTAACACTAGGACAAATCAATAAATTTGTATAGCGCCTCCCATCGAAACCAACCTCGAGGCGCTTACAACAACGATCACACAAAACCAACATGATTAAACATTGCATCCAATGACAGTGAGTTATTGAAATTTCAAATATTAGCCTACATCCAACTGACGGCCGAGCTAAGCTGCCCTCTATTAGAGTAAAAATAATTACAGCAATGGTTTTCAGGCATTACTTGCCAATTCAATATCCATAAACCCATTTATGGCCTATAACTTTAGTACACTTCAAAATAAGTAAAGTATTAAAAGTTGGTTTATATATATAGAACAAACATGTTATTAAAATATATTATACCAAGATGTAATAAATTAGTACATTTAATTTATAAGGTAACAATATAGGCCAACAATTGGTTTAAACATAAAGGTGTTGTGTCACCTCACCAACAACAACGTATTAATAATATAAATTTAGTTTAGTCACCAAAGTTTGTCTAACGAATAATCATGCACTCAAAATCTGTGTTTACATGTCTTCAACAACGATACGGCCGGTGTTGTGGGTAACACTCCTTACAGTATTCGTGTTACTTTCCTGCGTTATCCGACTAGCAAACTTCTTTTTGAATGCTTGTCGCACCTAAAATACAATTGGAATACATTAATTGTTACCAGTTTAACTATTTCCCATCTTTATGCGTAAAGATTGTTTTCTTTTTGCTGTCTGCAAATGTTCATCTTTTAAACAGCCCTACAAATGCTGCTATGTCAAGTAAAATTTCTAGGATTAAAACGTCTAAAAAGATTATGTTTGTCTAAAAATACTATTTGGGTCAGCTAAACTAAAGAGTCTATCTACAATGATTCAAAAGGACAAATTGTTTTTAATATAATATTCAAATCAACACCAAATCACCTCATTGCTAAAGACGCACTGCGAAAGCCAGACGAAGAATCCTTGCATGGAATTTAATATAACATAAATGTATTCCATGATCTTCCAGTCACAAAAAATGATGATGACACCAAAAATCCATGAAATGCCAACAGCTGGTGCAAGAAGCAACAGACCCTGAAACACATTTCTGTTAAAACAAAATAAAATACATTCTTTACAGAACGTGGTTATATAGCACTGCAGTATTCTTTCCAACTGTAACCAATAACACGAAGTGTCATTCAAACTTAGAACTGACCAGTAAAAACAGTTGCAGGATTACGGAATTGTCCCACTTACACACAGCTTTATAATTATGTTTTAACTTGGTTTTACCTTGTCGTTTTTTGGGACATTAGCAACAATATCCCAGAAAGGCACAAGGTTTATTGGAAACTTCCATTCCACAATAAACAAGATATAGCGTGTTCTACACTTGTAGCGTCGGTAGTGGTCAGTATTAGGCTCAGAGGCGGCGCTACGGGGGAGGGGAGGCAGGTTCACAGCCCCCTCCCCCGTCGGGGATCCACCCGGCGGAGAAAACCAAAATTCGTCGGGGGAAAAATTTAAAAAAATATATGTATTTTTTTAACATATTAATAGACTCTAAAATAGATTAAAATAAGCCTTTGAAACCCCTAATTTTCATAATTTGGGGGGGGGGGCTACGTCCCCTGGACCACTTTCGAAAGGTTTTTAGCGATGCCCGACCACGCCCACTTTTTTCTCGTCGCGGACATAAGCCCCCCCCCCCCCCCCCCCACCCCCACGTCGGGGACATTGGACCCCCGTCAGGGAAATCATGGCGCCGCCACTGTATAGGTTACTACCTTACTTTATTTCTTAATTCAAACGATTATGTACCAAGACTAAAATTCATTTGTGTTAGTTCTTGAAACGACCGAAAGTGAACGAATGTGTAATGAGTGATTCTATGATTCTATTATTTTACCGTTTTGATATTCTTTAACTACAATGTATCATTCTTTGTGATTTCAAACTGATCAATGAGTTCATTATAGTTAATAGCTTCAACATTATAAAGTTTTCTAGAATCATAAACATATTTTGTTTTGTGAGTATTGAGTAAATGTACCACGCAGGTGAACCAAATTACTGGAAAAACAAAATCTTAGAGTTTGTGATACACTTCGGATTAGTATATTACTGGTAAGTTTTTGAGATCTTGAATTTAAACAAGTTTACCTATAGAACTCATCCGTTAACTAAATGTGTAAATCATTTGTTGTCAATTGTTATGAGAACAGCTGTACAGCTGCACATCGTATGGTTAAAAATTTCCTTTGATGTTACTGTTCCCAGCTTCGGTCTAAATATTAGTATGCTATAGTAATTTTCTTATTTTGAAAATTTGTTTCTGTTTTAATTGGCTGACTGTATAAAGATAG